TCCAAATACTCTCGGCTGATCAGACCAAGCTCACTAGACAGCTTGGCAGATTGGACACCGTTAGTTGGTCGACCTTGCATAACGTCAATCTTGATAGGTAGCTTCTCCTTACCCATGGCAGCAGCCAACTTGACAGTATCCAAACCCCGGGTGGGGCCTCTAGTGTTGTTCTTCTTTTGATGATTTGGATTTTCATTCTCAGACGAAGAAAACATCCTATCTTCTTCTACCTCGAATTCATTAAGAATGTCTTCTTCTGGAGGTATGTAGTTGGCAGGAGACTTGAGCTTTTTTGAAATATTAGGTTGGGCAGACTGGTTCCAAGAAGCAGGCAGGCCTCTAGTTTTCTTCTTCTTCTTCTCATTTGGATCATTAAGTACAACTTCTGAAGGTCCACTGTTTGGACAAACCTTGAACATCTTTGAAACATTAGGTTGGGTAGATTGTTTCGAAGAAGAAGCAAAGAGTTTGTTGCCCTGCTGACTTTGGCGTGTCATATAGAGCGCCATGTTCAACTTATCCTGTATAAGAGAAATGGAACAAATTAGCATCATAATAAAAGGATTCATAATTTCCACATGTGCGAATTCTAGCACTTGTGCTACTGAGATTGATTTGTGATTTGGTTGAACAGTAGCATGCATTATAGACATAAGCAATTACCATTAATCCTCAAAACCGTAACCACCGGATAATTCCGTAAGATAATGAAACCAAGCATTGAAACAAAGCTATATTGTACGTTGCTATGTGTAGGAAAAGGAATGACCAGACACCAATTTGCAAGCAACACAATTTAGAAAAGAACAGAAACAAGATAAAAAAAACTGACAAGGTTTTGGGATCTTAATTACAGCAACCCTTTGCTTTTCTCTACCCCTGCAGTTCCAGATTACAGGATATCTTTATACATAGAACATATGTTGTTTACCAGAAGCTTGAAGTCAGCAGGTGATAAATAGCATAGGATTGGTTGACAGCATGATTAATAGCATTGTGACTAAATGGAATCCAAGTTCACTTTCACTTCTCTGATCTCAAACAAGTAAATCGGGAATACACTGACTAAATCGAATTCAAGTTCAAATCTAGTTCAAATCCGAAATCAAGGTATGCAGCAGAGAGTCTATTTGAATCATCAACTATCCCTTTCAATTCTCTAATCTCAAACAAGTAAACCACCTAGATACTAAATTCCATTCCACCTAACTACATGGATATGTAGCCAACCTCAGTAGTCATCCCTCTCATCCTTGTAAGAAATCACATAAGGGCTCTGTTGACTCCTTCAGGCAACAAATTAACAAAGGGAAACAGTAGTGTCTTGAGAAAAGAACCTCAAGCAAACTTGTTTACAACAAACATATTCATGGAGAAGACTTTTTCTCCATCGGCTCTAACATTTCAGATACCAACCAAGCAGAACAAACTCGAAACCATGCCCCTAATCTCATAAGGTCGAATCCGACAACTACAGAACGCGCAATCGAATTCAATTCGTCAATCTCAAACAAGTAAATCTGCAATACATCGACTAAATCGAATCCAAGTTCGAATCCAGTTCAAATTCAAAATCAAGGTACGCCTCTTAAACTCGGTATTCTGATACAATATGGAAAAATACCAAATCGGATGCGGATCGAATTTGACCGAGCTCAAAAGTGAAAATAGGATTCAACATAATTTCAAACTAGTTCAGCTTAGATAGAAATCAGGAATAGGCTAGGATCTGTTACCTTCTGAGAATCGACAGGGAGGGAGGAATTATCGAACGAAGCCGACGAACTCTTTACTTGCTTCAAAATCGTGATTCCTCTGCAGACTGGAGTAGGCGGATCTCAAAGAAGCAAAATAGGGAATCAGATTAAGACGAGACGGGAGAAGAGGCGAAGCTAGAGTCAGAACCGAAATCGAGAAGAGGAGGAGGAGAAATCTAATAGAATCGACATAAGAAGAAGAGGGGGAGGAGAACTCGGATGGAATCGGAATCGACAAGTCGAAAACCTCGTCTCTTACCCGACCGACCGACCACTTGAATGGCAGCTAATGAACGACAACACTTGTTTCTTACTACTGGAATCGAATCGGAAGAAGAAGAGGGGGAGGGGAACTCGGATGGAATCTGATTCCCTATTTTGCTTCCTTGAATGGCAGCTAATGAACGACAACACTTGTTTTTCATAATTACTATTACAACCACTAAGTTTTAATAATATCAGATATAGTACCTATAGAACAAATTGACAACCAAATAATTTAGTTGCTGGATTTTTTTATTGGATTTGCAACCAAATTATTTAGTTACCTAAGATTTTCAAATTTCTTGCTTAAATTCATAACCAATAAAATTTGGTTGGAGAAAGTAAAAATCAATATGCTACCAAATTATTTGGTTGGAAAAACTAAAAATTATTTTGCTACCAAAATTATTTGGTTGGAAAAAGTAAAAATTATTTTGCTACCAAATTATTTGGTCTTTTCAAATTTTATTTGGTTATCAATACTTTGACTTTAATAGACAACCAAATTTTTAATATTTTAGCTACCAAAATGTAATTGGTTGTATATACTACCCTTTTCACAACCAATTTTAGTTTGGTTGTAAAAATTTTGGTTGCAAAAGCTAATTTTTGTTGTAGTGATAATACCCCCTATGTCAAGGGTTATGTAGCAAGGGTTCAACAAACCTCTCCCAAATTTTTCGCGATGCATTTTAGCGGTGGTTTATTCTTATTCAACATTGAGGAAGGTCACAGTACCTCCCTGGTCGTGCTCTGAGGAGTATCGTCCGGTAGTAGATCGTTCAATATTCTGCATCAAGAACCAGACGATCAATCGACACGAATCCAGGTATTCCTAGTACTAACCTTTGATAATCTAGCAATATGATATTCAGGGAATTGCTTGTGCAAATTCCGATTATATTTAACAACTTCATGTCATTACTAATTTGACAGATCATGAATCAGCTATGTCCCACGAAACTAAACCTTTGCATTTGCTAGACGCAGCCTACAGTTGAGAAAGAGTAGCATCAGCCATACACAAATTGGAAATTTTCAGCTTGTGCATATGACTGAATGAATTCAAAAGTGAAGATAAAGATCTCTACAGAAACCCTTGATTACAATTAGCCGAGCAGGTCCATCGCATGGATCTTCCTTGGAAGACCAACTAATGTAATGCCCTTCGCCATGATATGATCTACAAAAAAAATTACTAATGTATATGGAGATACTTCTTAAAATGCAAAATTGACGTTCAATAAACGTGTCCTTCAAAGGAAAAAAAACAGACATTGTTGCTATCGGACATAGATAACCCCTTCTAACTTTGCCATCACACAATCTAGTGAAAGAGCACGGATCTAGGTGTGCGATTTAGGGTTACGATTGGTATGGGAATTGGGGATTTAGATGAGATAAAACTGGAATTAGAGTTGAGAAGAAGAAGAGAGGTCGGATCCCTGGAGGGTGGCCGATGGCTAAGAGGAGGGAAGGGTTTGGCTGGAGAGAGAGAGAGAGAGAGAGAGAGAGAGATAGCTTAGGGAATAGTTCTTGTGTTATTGCTTAACCCTAGCTTACTCCTAACACAGAATATATATAATTCGACTAATTTCCTATAACTACCCAAATACTTAACCTAACCGATTTAACCCCAATAGTTTCCGAGATATCCAACATAACATCAAGCATCCGAATAATAACAAATAAACCCCAGAAGAATGTATATATGACATTCCATCCCCCTTAAAACCCACCTTGCCCTCAAGGTGGACCTTCTTTCTTCTCTTCCTTCTTCCCTTCCGCCTCACTCGCCTCCATTTCCTCCCCCTTGTCTTCCTAGTTCCCGACTAGCAGCATCATATGTCCCTTGGCACACTGATGTCCCACCGTGTATCTCTCATCAAAGTTGAAACAACAGTCATCCCTGTCCTTATGGTCCATCTCCGTCTGAGTCAACCTGATGAACCCCTTCGACGGTAGTCTTGACGGAAACCTGCCTCCTGGAAAGCTCTCGTGGCTACCGGGCTTGCATTCCCCGGCGATGGTGTAGAGCCTGCGGTGCCTGGACCTGTGCCACTACTGGCTTTCTAGATGCGCCCAGTCCAAGACCTCCAACTAGCCAGCTCCTCCTCCTTGCGACCTGCAAGTCTAAAAGCAATTCAAAGAGAATTAGGTTCAAAGACCTTAACGGTCGTCGCCAGCTTGGGACGTAGCCCACCGTGCATAGGCCCACCAAAGTTTCTTCTGACATCTACTTGCACTGGTTCCCCTACTTGAGGAACTCGCCTCGATACTCGACCACTGACCCGGTCTGCCTAAGCTTGGCTAGCTGTTCTAGAAGTCACCATTCCGCCTTGCCAAACTGATATGCAGCTCGTCCTGGAACCTAGACCAAGAGATGACCTCTCCGGCCGCAACATAAGCTCTCACGGTCCACTCCCACCACTGGAGGGCATCTCCTTCTAAATAGAAGGACACCAAATGCACCTTCTGCTCCTCCCTGATCGGGTGGTTCTTGAACCACCTCTCCGCTGCATAAAGCCATAGTCCCACATCTCCCGACCCATCGAACTTGAGGAACTCTATAACCGGTGGTTTAGCTCTAAACACCAATTCATCCTCGCAATCATATAGAGGGTTACTATACCCATACCTTCCTGTATTCGGCGGAGGCTAACGACTCACCGACCCATTGTGGTGTTAGCCTGGCTCGATCCGCTGTTGAAGAGAGTAAGGCCAGTTGCCTGCCACCTCCTGGTCGTCCCTGCCATACTCCAGCTTGGTCCAAGATCCTTGTCCCACTTCTCGACCTCCACGACCTCGTCCTCCATCTGCTCGAGGTGTACCCCATGGGGGATACCCAGACTTCGGACCTCTCTAGACAGCCCCGATGCCCCTTCCCGACGCGCCCCAGCTGCTGTCTGTCAGGTGGTGACCCAAACCAGTTCGACCGACTCCAGTTCGACCGGACATGGGGTCCGCAACCCAGCTCTATCAAGCCCCGTCGGGTTCTGGGTCCACCCACCACCCTTCCTGGGCCGAGAAGCTCACCTCGTCACCTCCCCCGGGACCAGTCGGCCACGGTTCAACTCCCCCGGGCCCAGGCGGCCACGGCTCACCTCCACCGGGCCCAGTCGGCCCCGACTCTCCTTCGTACCCCGCCATCTTTTTCTTTCCATGGGCCTTGTCGCGCTCTTGGACCGTCGATACCGGAAGTAAGCCTGGCCCGCTGAACACCGGCCCAGGCACGCCAATCACGCCCTTGCCTCCTTCCTCGGCGACGCGGACACACGGCCCGGTCGAGCTCCTCGGCGTCCCATTGCTACCGGCCGAAGCTCTCCCGTCCAGTCCTACGGTCACCTCCTTTGTCGCCATTTCCCGTGCCCTGCGGCTTCTCACGTCCCGCGGCCACCTCCTTTGCCGCCACCGTCTCGTCGGAGTTGCCTGGGCTGTGCGGCTTTCCTCGTCCATCAATGGCGCTGCCACCAGTGCCAGGATGGCCGGTTGCTCGCGGTTCCTGAGAACCCAAGTCAATACCTCCTTCATCGTCGCTGTGAGGGCTCTGCAAATAGTTTCAGCCACGCTCTTGCACATCTCCTCGATCGACGCCTTGATCTGGTCACCCATGGCTTCAATGGCACCGATCAAGCCCTTCGAGGCCTCGGCTGTACGCTCAGTAACTCCCTTAAGGCTTTCCAACGACGCCGTGATCGCGTCGTACTTGCTTGTCGTCACGTCCTTGAGTGCCACAACCTCCTTGCTCGGCCGCGGCGACTGCGGGTTGTTCATAGGGTTTGTCATCTTCAGGATTTCAGCACTCCTCATAAAATTGGCACACCAGCCAGGCTCTGATACCACTGAAAGAGCACGGGTCTAGGTGTGCGATTTAGGGTTACGATTGGTATGGGAACTGGGGATTTATATGGGATAGAACTGGAATTAGGGTTGAGAAGAAGAAGAGAGGTCGCATCCCGGTAGGGTGGCCGATGGTAGGAGAGGGAGGGAAGGGTTCGCCTGGAGAGAGAGAGAGAGATAGTTTAGGGAATCGTTCTTGTGTTATTGCTTAACCCTAGCTTACTCCTAACACAAAATATATATAATCCGACTAATTCCCTATAACTACCCAAATACTTAACCTAACCGATCTAACCCCAATAGTTCCCGAGATATCCAACATAACATCAAGCATCCGAATAATAACAAATAAACCCCAGAAGAATGTATATCTGACATCTAGTGACTACCCATTCTCTATAGACTCAATACACTAGTCGAAAATCAGACTCAGGCCATAAGAGATATGAATTCAGAAACACAGTGACAAATTCTAGACTACTTACAAATAGATCATATGAGCTGACAAATAAATCATACGAGCTCCACACTGATTAAAGTCTGAATATACCAGCAAGGTGGCATGTGTTGTTCCAATGGGGGAAAATAACTTTTGTAAGCTTTATCGATTACCAGATAAAGTTGGAGCAACTGGACGAGGTTTCTACACATAAACTCAGTGGTGCACAAGCATCAGTCTTAGAACCATTGTTATAAAAAGCACGCCTAGCCACTCGCTTAAACTCGTCCAGGTGCAAGTCAGAAGGAAAACGCCTTGCCTTGACAAAAGTAGCGGAGAAGGCACCACGATCACGTTGTGGTCTTTGTGGCGCCAAGTCAACATTGAGTTACGCCTCAAAATGATGCCATGATGTCTTTTTATACATTTTGATATGCTACTAGGGAGGATGATCTTGATTTCCCTATAGTTAGGCTATGATATAGTTAGAGATAACATGTTCATAGTAGCTTCTTCTTTCTTTTTTGCACTTCTTTGCTCTCAATTTGCTTCGTTATTTTCCAGCTTGTTCTTCCTTACTCATTTTATCACGCTATGGTTTATGTTTTTATCATGTGTTGTTGATGAAAATTTATAAATGTGAGATAGATGCAATGATATTTGTTCATAAACTTTAGATTCTAGACAAGTGTGAGATATTTTGCTACATTTACCTCTAACGCTTAGGCATGCATAGGCGACTCCTAAGCGTGCTAAGTGCAGGACATAGCCTCAATGCTTGCCTTATACCTGACACTTTCTTGAACCGTGCTTAGAACTAGTGCATGTAACCAGTAAAGCAACATTTAACATTGCAATCAGAAACATTATCTTGTGAAGCACGTCATTGGGATTACGAATCCCATTTGATTATGAATATAGGTTAGGGTGCCCTTTATGCATCTTATTTTCCACAAAGAAAAAGAAACATGATCTCGACATATGCTTGTTTCTGAGAGATATTTTGTCATGTCCTTTGTGCAAAGAGGATATGGGATAAGATCGGGTGACTAAGGGGAGGTCTCTTAGTAACATGACTAAGTCTAATTCAGCCATTCCTTTAAGTTTTAATTTAATGTTGTAATTAATCTTGTTTAATGAAAGGCATGGTGGTGAATACACAATTTATTTATTTACAAATTAAAATAAAACAAAAATAATGTGGGCACGCTCCTCCCGTCGATGTCCACTTTCATCCACTTCCACCGATGCTTTTCTGTGCTCCCTCCTGGTGGTCCACTTTCATATATCCCACTTGCGCTTTTATGGCTCACTTCCGGCGATGGAGCTTTTCCGATGCTTATTCTAGGCAACTCCTCACTTCCTCCCTATCTGTCAAGAGAGAGTTTCCCGACGATGGTGGAGGTAGATTTTCCAGCGGCATTACCAGATTTGTGATGTTTGTCGGTCTATTTTGTAATGTTTGTAAGTCTGTTTTGTAATGTTTATATAAATTTCGTTTATAATTCTAGTTTGTAATTTTTGTCTACATTTTTTTTTTTTTGCCCTGTTGCTTCACCTACAACCAAACATGCAATAGTTGCCTAACTCGCATAGAACGGACAACTAAATTCCAATAGTATGTTTGGGAAACCTCTCTTATTAGAAGAATCATAATCAACAGGTGGTTAGAATGACATAAATGAGCTAAAGCAAGCTAGTAAACAATTTGCAATGGTGCAGCAAAAGACCAAAATTGCTCTTCCAGTTTTTTTTTTTTTTCGTTGAATCAGTTGCGCTTTTACTATTAAGTAAAAAAGAATTGCAATGAGCAATTCAAGAACCAATACAATAAAATGGGTTGCCATTGTGGCTCCCCAGAAGAACAAACAAAGATAACAAGGAGAAAAAACCTCACACTACCTTCTACCACAATCCACTATAACTCTACTGTATTCTCAACAATGCTAAGTCTTGCTTCATTAGCGCCTGTAGAGTGGCAGCATCTCGATCCTGCTCAGAATGACACCGTCTGCACCTTTCCTGCCAAATGTAAGTGATCAACAAACACCATTCGACCCCAATGAAGCTAGCCGGATTGCGCCTGGGAGCTTGGCAGAAAGCCAGTAGGGATTCCTCCCAGGAAGATCTACACACCATCTCAACCTGCAAAAAACCCAGTACAACTTGCTTGAAAAACTCACAGCTAAAGAACAAGTGATCTCGTGTCTCACTACCATTGTGACAGAGAACACAACAGTCATCACTTATCTTCCCCATCGATAGTGCTTGTTCTTAGTAGTAATTCCATCAAGAATAACAAGTCAGACAATGAAACTAAACCTGGGAACACTCCTCGGCCCCCAAACCACTTTATACCAGGCCAATGCGCTGTATTAAGTACGTAGGGTATTCCAGACAAGCTTAACTGAATATTTATGCATTGGTTGTCCATTCCCCAGAGCATAGTCCCCTTGCCTAGTGAGCAGAGAGTGCACCTGTGAACGTTTCTTCAGTATCCGAAGCAAAGCCCAGGAGCTATTAGCATTCTCCTTAATAGTCCAGACATTCCCTGTTTTATAGCGATATTTGAGCATCCAGGCCACCCAAAGAGCTTCTGACTGCATCATTTGTAGCCATAATAAACGTAAGGAGCATCAAGAATTCCAGGAGCTGAGCTCTCGAATGCCAAGCCCTCCTTCTTTTTTAGGACGAGCAAGTCTATCCCAAGCTATTTTAGTTCTGCATGTATCATTACCATGCTAGAGGAAATCCATACAGAGCTTCTGCACAAGCTAAAGAAACTTCTTTGGTAGAATGAACACCTGAAGCCAATACTGAACTAGACCTGTTATTACTGAGTTAATCAACTTCAACCTACCAGCGTAAGAGAGTTTCTTTGCATGCCATGAACGAATCCTTTTAGTTATTTCCGTTGTCAATGCTTCACATTCCCTATTAACCAACTTCCCTTATATGAGAGGCAACCCTAGGTAACGCACAGGTAAAGACCCTTCAGTAAAACCAGATAATGTAAGAGCGTTATGCTTATAAATTACACTTCAAACCAGAATGCCAATAGAACTGATCTAGAGTCTGCTTTACTGCCATTATCACTCTATTAAGCCCCTTTCTCTAGATTTCTGCCAATACAATCCTTCCTCTGCCTTCTTTGCATCTTCCAATAGAGAGGACACCATTTTTTTTGCCTGTAAATTCTCAGCTGTCGGGGAAGAGAAGCAATCAGCCGCTATATGTATCAAATCCATCTCTAACTCCTTCAATTGGGAGCTAATATTAGCATAATGCTCCTTGTTCAATCTTATCAGAGCCTTTTTGACCTTTTTGAGTTTAGTCTGCACTACATACCAAGGACTACCATTACAACGAATGGACCACGCCTCCTCCACAATATTCAGGAACTCAGGATGGTCACTCCAAAAATCAAAATACTTGAAGGGTTTAGGGAGAGATTTCTCAGGAGGTTTAGACTGAACTAAAATACCACAGTGATCCGAAAACGTGCCAGGAATAGCTTCAATAGTATAGTTAGGAAAAACTGTCATCCAGGGAACATTCACCAATGCTCTATCCAGCCGCTTAGCAATCGGATTAAACTACTGATTATTCACCCTTGTAAAGAAAGGTCTCAAAGTATTAACATTCTCCAGTTCCATACTGTTTCGCCACCCCTCAAATTCAGACGTGCCTGGTGTAAGAAAGCTTCACTTAGTTGCATAATTGCATCCTCCTACTATCCAAGGGAAATCATCAACTTTTATTCTACTGATTTCAGCATAAGTTGCTCTTCATTCTAAATCATCATTATCTCCATATACTGCTGTTAGAAAGAAAGAATCACCTCCTTGCTCATGTACCAACGTATGAAGGAAGTTTTTACTTGGCACCAGATATGATCTAAATCAGATTCACAATAGTTTAGAAATCTTTCCCAGCCCACTAAAAAACTTTTAGAAATCTCCTCTGACTTTGCTTGGTGCACACGAGTCTACAACACTACCACTACACTAACATTCAGACGCCTCAAGACTTGCGTAAAGTCCTGTCTCTTCGAGGATTTATTAAATCCTCGAACATTACAAAATAGACATATTATGGCAAGGAGTGGGGCTCAAGCCCCTCCTTCTTTTGGCCTCTCTTAGGAGCATCTTGTAGCCGAACAACTGCATCACCATCTTGGTCAGCAAGGATATTGAAGGAAGATGGTGAGATATGTAAGACACTGGTAGGACTGGAGGCTGGTGACCAGATTCGAGCTTTTGCCCCATGGACCACTCTCTGAAACTCAGCTTCAGATGGTAGCTGTGGAGAAGATACTACTGACAGTGTCTTGGGAGAGGATACCTCAGAAAAGGAAACATCAAGATTTATCCCCCTATGGTAATTCTTGAAGAAGAAGAAGAAGAAGAAGAAGAAGAAGAAGAAGAAGAAGAATCCGTAGAAGGGGAGGCCAAGCCTAGAGAACCCGTGCCCTGAATTGGTGCATCAGTAACAATCAAAGGGGCATGAGAGACTGGGTGAGCATCCACTT